CAGAGGGGGTGGGTGCAGCCTGCCTGGCCCGGGACGGGTCGGGCCGGCTGAGCCAGCAGCGCGCCCTGGCGGGGCGTCGCTCAAGCCCCCGTGCACCGCAGCAACCCCTTTCCCCACGGCCCCTTCTCCCGCGGACCAGAGGGGGGAGGGCGCACGGGCAGGAGGAGGGGGGACTTGAGGACGGTCAGGAGGGCGGCGCGGCGGGGTTTAGAGAGAGAGAGAGAGAGAGAGAGAGAGCAAGCGAGAGGGACCGGGGGAGGGGGCGGGGAGCGGGAGTCAAGGGCAAGGGCGGGCGAGGGACAGGGGGACGTACGAGCGCTCACGTGACGTCGGCGCCCCTCACTCACTGCACTCACACACATGAACATTGTTCTGCTTCTGTTGGCTGAAGTACACACCATTGCGTTTGTTGCGTTTGTTCCTGCAGGCCGAGTCGCACTGGTGCTGCTGCTGCTCCTGGTGTCAGCGGCCGCCCCCTCCACGCCATACACCGCCAGTACGTTATGAAGAAGAAGTTGTCAAATAAGAGGAACCTGAGAGGAACCAGAAGAAGGTAGCGCTAGCGTGGTGGGTGGCGTGGCGTAGCGCCCTATGCGTAGAAAGCAGAAGATGAGCAACAGTCTAGCCAAAGTTAGAGTGTGTCCGAATTCAGCCACCGACCGAGCACCGACCGGTCGGTCGTCGGGCGGTCGGTGGCCGGGCCGTGGCGAGCCACTCGCTCCAAGCAGCTATGCCACCCTGTCCACATTGGGTTAACCGCGAACCGCGAAATCCTTTCGCGGGGGATGATCGTAGGGCGCGGGTCTTACGCGGGGGATCGTCGCGGGTCCTCCGCGGGTCCTCCGCGGGGGTAGTCGCGATCCGCAACCATCCCCAGCGAAAGGACTTCGTGGTTCGCGGTTGGCATAGCTGCTTGGAGCGGCTCGCGACCGGCCGCTCGACGACCGACCGCTCGACCACCGACCGGTCGGTGCTCGGTCGGTGGCTGAATTCGGACACACTCTTAGGATGTGTGTCGTTAGATTTCAAACAGTGTGGCCTTAGCCCGTTCCTACTCATCTAGCACCTTAGCACCAAGGGCTATTACGACAGTTGAATCATTATCATTGTGTTAAAATTTACCAATGAAATATGACTGTACAGACAACGACACCCGGACGGTTAAGAAGATTGCAAACTCACTTTAGCGACCAAACTTTAAAGAACCAGTTTTTGAGACAAGAATTCTACTCTAATGTAATGTAAATTTCTACGTATGTTTTTACAAATTCTACAAAACTTGGTTTAGTGAAAGCCAATGATCACACTGTATGGTCATCTGTGTTCTGCTTTGTTTAGGGGTTGCGTTACACTACGCCACCTCCTCATAGCTACCTTCTCCTTGATCCTCTTGTTGGGCAGCTTCCTCAGAGATGATGTTATGGGAATACTGTTCATCCTAAGGCTTCGAGAGACAAACTGTTCGCTCGGGCTCCTCAGGGGTGTGGAAGTCCTCGGGCGAGTGCGGCGTGGGTTACAACGCCGTCTGCGTCCTGGTGTGCGGTCTCCTGCTCCGGCAACCGACCCACTGCGTCATCGTGTTCGGCTACCAGCGCTGCCTGTGCGGCCAGCTGCCGAACTTCACTCGCGCCGTCGGCGCAGCCCCCGCCCCCGCCCCCGCCCCCTCCGCCGCCGCGGCCGCGAGTGGACGCCGGCGTCGGCAAGGTGCCACCGGCCGCGGCGCGGCGCCCAGCAGCAGAGCAGCTAGGGCTGGGACGGCGGCGGAGGAAACACTGCGCCGGTGATCGCGCGGAGGGACCTCGTCGTGCCCTCGTCCCCGCCGCCCCCAAGGGACGCCGCATGCACTGGCCGCGCGGCGGGGACGCCAGGGCGCCCCGAGGCCAGTTTTTGAGACTGCTGCTGCGGGCGTCGCGGCCGCGATGAGGCGTGCGACGGCGAGCGCGCTGCGCCTCGGGGCGCTGCTCGCCCTGCTAGCCGGCGGCGGTGAGTACGTCGACGGGGACTTTGGCGAGGTGGAGGATGGAGGGATGTCACGCGCCAACTGATGCCCAGGCTTACGCGTGCCCTGCAGTCCGTGCGTCCTGCCGGAGGTCGGACTGTCAGTCCACCTGCACGTCCGCCAACGGGGCGTCGTCGGGGACCTGCCAGCTGGGCCGCTGCCTCTGCCACGCGGGGGACTCGGCGCTCGTCCTGCCCCCGGCTACCCAGGTACCCGACGACGGAGGCGCAAGGGGCACACCGGGCGCAGCCTCCACGCCTGCCACGAGCGACGCGTTTGGCGGCGTGGGCTGGACGTCGCAGGCGGATACGGCAACGGCCTACAACGGCGCTCCTCGTCATCGTCACGAACAGCATGAGCATGAGAGGCATCGGAGGCGGACCAAAACCCACTACCACATGGGTCCGGCAGGGCCAGCCACCGAGCCTTATTCTGTCGACGGGCGGAGGAGGTTCGAAGGGGCGTGGGGCAGCAGGAGTGACATCGCGGAGGCCTCCGGCGCGGGGCAGAGGGCGGAGGGTTCGCAGGCCGACACCAGGGCCGAGAGACGGGCCGACGACGGCGACAGGGTGCACGGCGTGCCGAAGGCAAAGCGGAGGGTGAAGAAGAGGAGGCCAAAGAAGGACGGCAAGGGGGCAGAGAGCGGCGAGAAGGACAAGAGCGACGAGGAGGGCGTGAAGGGGAGGGGCAAGCATAGCAAAGAGTCAGGGGGAGGAAAATCGGAGGAGGAAGAGAACGGAGGTGAGGGGGGTGCAGGAGACAACGGGGCCGAATATGTGGGACACGTAGAACACTTTGAACACGTTGAACACACGGAGCACAGGGAGCACAGCACAGAGGTCAAAAGGGAGAAGGAGGAGGGAGAAGCAGCAGGCGAAGAGGATGGTCACGGTCACCGTGACGAGGAAGTGATAGAGAGGAAAGGGGCTGATGAGGACAAAATCTCCGACGACAACCCGGTGGCGAGCGCGGGGGATAAACAAGAAAGGGACGGGAAACTGGATAAGCAGGATGAGAAGGATGACCAGACGGAAGGGGTGGTCAAAATAGATAAGGAAGAGGATGGCAAGGACGAGGTCGACTGCGGCGAAAAAGAGGACAATGATCGGGAAAAGGAATGCAATGATGGTGCTGATGATGCGGATCAGGGTGATGGATTAGCAAGGAATGGAGGCGTAAATAAGAATGGAGATGAAGAGGACGACGACGAGGAATCGGACGAGTCTGAGTGCGAGGATGAAAGTGACGAAGGAAGTGCAAAGGAAGACGAAATCGGCAGCACAACTGCCACACCAGCGGCAGAGTAGATGAGGAAATTTGAGTGTTCTTAGGGACTATTGCGAAAGAAAACGATTTGATGTAAATACTATATTTATCATATGATTACGATATTATTTCTCTTTATCAAAAATGAACATAAAAATATGTAGACTTAAGTTATAGGTTATCAAATATACTGCCCCGATTATATTTAGTTGTTTCCTTTCTTCCTGTAAAATTACCATTCATAAATGTAATTTTATGACTCGCAATTTTTTTTTTCAACGGGGGCGTAAATAATTACGTCGTTTTGGCATGGAAGGTAACGAATCAGATCGGTAACCCATCTTCAGCCTGGTAATCGTCAAATTGCTTGGACTTCCCCCTGGTCGTAACTGACTAATGATATCCGCCATACTCTCAACAACTGAAACATTTTTGCTCACTCTGCTACGCCACCACCTGTGTCCCACAGCTTCAAAACACGGAGACAAATTAATCCGAGCTAAGTCTCTCCTCCCAGTCCTCAGTCGAGAACCTCCCTCAGCCTCAGCCCCTCGACACATAGAACCCGTTAGACCCCACAACCGCCCGCAGCTTGCCTACTGCCCACCTCCAAATCCCGAAAGACTTCTCAACCCCGACGATCCGCCGTTACCCGTACCAACGGGCCCTCCAGAACTCCCGATGGGCCCAGGCAGGCCAGAGCCTATCCCCACAGGCCCCCCTGGACTTCCAGGGCCGGAAGACCCCCCTGCCCATCGTGGCGCAGCCGCCAGTGCTCCATACGGAACGCCTGATACCTTTCCCCACGGCCCTGGTCCAAAGTCATCCCCGATCCCGGGGAACGAACCAAGACCAGGCAGCACAGGAGGAAATGGCGCTCCGCCTGGCCCACCTGGTCCGCCTGGTCCGCCTGCGCCAGGTGCACCCGCCCCGACGGGCCTCCGGAACGCGCCCTGCGGCGGCGGGGCGTGCGGCTCGGGGGTGGTGTCGGCGGTGACCCTGGTCGCGTGCGCCGGCACGGGGGAGATGGCGCTGTAGGTGAAGACCCGCTGCGGCTGCGTCGTGCTGGTCGCAGCAGGGGGCTGGTACATGGGGGGCACGGGAGCGGCCATCGGCTGGTACTGCGGGTACGGCGGCGGGTACGGCGGGGGGTACGGCGGCGGCGGGTACTGGGGTGGGTACTGCGGGGCGTACTGCGGGGCGTACGGCGGCGGCATGTAGGGCATCGGCATGACCGCGTTCACGTTGTAGTTGACGTTCACGTTGCTGTTGGAGTTGGAGGTGGGGCCGCTGGCCGGGCCGGGGTCGTCGCGGTGGCGGGGCGGGCGCGGCCGGTGGTCCCGGCACTGGCAGGCGCCGCCGTGGCACCGCGCCGCCGCGTGCATGGCGCGCCTGCACGCCGCCACGCACGCCGTCACCGTGCACGTCATTCCCCTGCCCATGACCATCGCTGCAAACACACACGACCATGAGCGCACCGCTGTCCGTCACGGGCCTGGACACCCGCCCTGCACCGCACACTCACCAGGGCCGGGCACGTCCACCAGGTCCCCGTCGGGGTCGTCGGCGTCTCCATCCGCCTCGGCCGGCGGCTCCCCTGCGTCCTGCGGCGCCTGCGGCGGCGGCTGAGCAGGCTGAGCCCACGGGAGCGCGCCCTGCGGCGACGACCCAGGCGGTAGAGGACCCGACGGCGGGAAGGGTCCCGGGGGCGGGAAAGCTCCCGGCGGCGGAGGTCCCTGAGGCGGCGGCCCTTGCGGCGGCGGCCCTGGGGGCGGCAGGTGCCCGGGCGGGTGTTGCGCGGACAAGGTGCCTCCCACGAACACCATCGCCGCGAGGACGGCGGCGACGTGGTCGACGACGGTCATGTCGGAGCGGGCGGCTCGGGT